AATATATTATGTTTGATACAAGGCTAGTAGCGTTAGAGAATGGCATCTAACAGCGAAGGCTCTAGAATGGCCACCTTTTGGGGGCTAGCTTTGCTATTAAATCCCATCCTTAATAAATCAGCAGCACATTAGAACCAGCTAACTTCATATGATTTGATTGTTTTATGATTTGAATTGTTAAACATGTTCCTGCTCAAGACAGTGATCAAGTGATTGTGACATTAGATAAACTCTTGTACACTAAAGTATCTTTAAATTAAATATGCGTTTATGACATTCACATCATGTCGCCTTTGGACAAAAAGAGCGCCAAAAGAAAGACATACTAATAGCTAACAACAGAAAGCTCGATTTAATAAAACATAGAGTGTCAAGAGCACCCCTTATCGCTGCTCATTCCGCTTGCTTGGCTGCCTCGTTTGGAAATCTCTTAGAAGAAGCGCTAGGCGTCAGCGAGCAGACATGCGACTGCTACGCTAAACTCAACTTCCAACACTCTTGCATCCACACAGTCATTTCTCTTGGTGGCAGGCCTTTTGGTTTGGATGACATACACCCAAGATGACATTTAAAGGAAGACCAATCGATTATCTTAATCAGTAATTTAACAACTTCTGTCAATATCGAAATGGAATGAAATTGATCTTGTCTCTTGGCTAAACTTGAATTGCAATTTCGCAATTGTGGTAATGATGTTGATAGTATAAACCATCTTCAAAGTTAAGTTGAAAAAACCATCAGCAAATCAGAAAGAAGAATTGCTTATAGTAACGCGATTCCTGGGGATGATTCGGTTGTCTTACCAGGTTCAGATGACGTTAGAAAAATCGGATGACCTCCAAAGGAAGTGTGCCATCGCATTTGAAAGAAAGCCAAGAATCCTAACAAGACTCGCACTGAACAAACGCAGGCAAAAGTCATGGCAGGAAAGATGGTTGTTTTCATTCAATAGCAATCAGTCATATATTAATAAACTTTATTTATTATTGCTTTTGTCTATATAGATGCTAGCTGGAAAAAAACCACAAATGAAAAAAGCTATTAAGGCCTCACTTTCCTTGACAAGAAAAAGAAAAAGCGCCGATTCCATTCAGGTTCTGAAATTTTCGAAAGTTTAATTGATGGAATTGAGCAAAAAAAGAAAGAAGAAAAGATGTGGACAGTAAGGCTGCCGATGCAGGAGAAGCAGAAAAAGAATCTGGCTATCCAAAAGTTGGCGTCAACCAAATTCATTCAACGATTCAAAACGAATATCACTCTGGATACGTCAATATAAAAGGTGATAGTTTTTGTGGCTACTGCTGCTTAGTCCATTCTGTGTACGGTGATGAAGCAAGATTCTTGGAAGTTAAGATGAAGATACGCGACACCTTGCCTCAGAATAGCGATTTCTATATAAACGCCTTTTTAGACTACATTTTATGTGACAATCCGAAAAATAGTGTTTGTTACGCTATAGAAGAAGAAATAGGAAACAAAGAAATCAACTGGTCAAAGGTTTATATCTGCTTTCAGCAAAAAGTCATAGTTTCTGCTCCTTTCTCTTGTTGGTTTTTTGCTCCCGGTTGCGCCCATCTTAGCGCTGATACGTTTAGACGCCCTATAGCTGTATACCCTGAAAATGAGCTTGTCAGCAGTCCTCCAGAATTGTTTTTTCTGTTGCTGAGAATTGACAAATATTATTGCACAATTGAAGGGTTTGGAACAAATTTTACATCACCAGTAATATTGCAGAGAGTAGAGTATAACCATTTTATTACATTTAATTTTAAAAAACACAAAAAAATGCTATGGACAAGGCCTCATCTAAGCATGTGGGAATATGCTTGCAACAAGACGGGAAAAGTAGGAAGTTACAAGCGTTCTGACTAGAGCAGATACCTCTACTTTGTCCCAAAAAAACAGTTTTTTTCTTTTATATATTCAAATAAACTGTATAATTATCTCTTCATAGTTCTATAAAACTGTATGATAGTATATTGTTGTGTATGGTAACAATTAGCACACTAAGCGTGTTGCTGATGGTTTGAAGATGTTCTGGCAGATAATTTCTCAAAAAAATGCTCTATCTTAATGAAGCTGAAAAAATATGTCTTTTCCTGGAAGGAGAAGGGCAACGAAAAATTGGCCAAAAGCCCATTTTGACAGTAACCTTTCACCTCAAAAAACTTATTACTTTTTACAGGACATCAAAACAATGCCGAATTTATACGCACAGGTATTATCATTAAGCATTGACTTGTTTTTCTAAAGAACAAGTGTCTTTAGTTAACATTACTGTTACCATACTAGTGAACGTTTATCCACTACATAGTAAAGTTCAACTCTATATCAATTAGTAAGTTATATAAAATGAGGCTTGATCAGTGCCATTAAAGCGTGCCATATAACGTAAGACTGGATATCTCATTTTAGAAGCATTTGTAGTTCACTGTTGTAAATTCATTGGTAAAAGCGCTGCAGTAGAGTATCATTTCATTAGATGCCTTTATGAGATGGTTGTACGTTCTGAGTTTCCATAATTTACACAAATATTTCGTTCAGAAATATCAAATGATCTTGGCTCATATTAGCCTATCAACAGATGATCAGAATTTTGAGGCTTTTTTAGTTCAATAAAAAATCGCTTGTGCGATGCTTACAAAACAATCGCAGTTTTTCTTATTCTAATATGATTGTATTGAGTCCACAAGACCATTTCTATCAACACACTCACAGATGACTCCTAAGATAATGATATACCTTACATTTGACTTTAATGCTCCTTGCTTTATAGTTGAACGAAAGACTGGATTAAGATTATGTGCTATGTACCTGCTCGTTCATGCTATGTTTACTTTGTAGACTATAATTAACTTGTCATTAACGGTGCATGCATCAACCGACATTTAGCCCTGCGTATGGCTCTCTCTGCTGCACAAAAACTGCTTGTGCATTGATTCACAAAAGCTTCCCAATGTATTTGCCCACTAAGATGCAAGTGTATCCTATAGCCTGTTATGGATGTTGTCAATTTGTCCGAGAAACGTCTTTAAACGTTTCTTAATGGGTAGCATAAACCAAAATGGTTAACCATGGAGCCTGATGACCTCGCTTCAGTAGACTTCAATTATAGTTATGCATGTGCTTAGAATGAAATTAACCAACACAGCGTTTTTTCTCCCATCAACATGACATTGAGACGCTGCACTGCTGGTCAGAATGTGTAACCTTGGGCATTATGTGACAATCTGACTTCTATACGATGCTCTTGCTGAGCTTTATGATTCTCGGGCGCTATTCAGAGAGTAGAGAAAAGATTATTGCAGTTGCCAATCATTCCTACTGCAGGTATATGAATGAACCCCGAGAAACAGGGTCCAATGATAAGCGGGTAACACTGTCTGGTTTGCTGGAGAAAGTGTCGAGCTGCCCAAAGTGGAGCAATCAAGTCCATCTTTTTCTATGTCTCGTAGCACTTTATGCTATATACACTAAAAGACTTTAGAAGAAAAAATATATAAAAATAGTAAATCAAGAGATGCACATGAAATATAAGAAAAGAGTGAAAATGTTTGGAAAGTAAACACCTTACGATAGCTATGAAATCACAAAACTCGTGGAATACTTAAAACAGATGACAAGCAATCCATTGGAAAGAATTAATCAAAAATCTAAAATAAAACTGGCCATGTACGTTGGGTTGGCGTAACTCAGATCAGTGCAACAGAAGGCAATGAGCTCCTCTCAAAAGCTGAATTTACAGTGTAGCCGACACACACTCCATCCTACAATCTATCACACTTCCCCTCTAAAAGTCAATGTACATAAGAATTAATAACTTAAGAGCATGGAATTCTATAAATGTAAAAAGGATTACCCCAGAAAGTGTAGATGCGCGGACATGTGTAGACATGTAATAAAAGGAAAGAAAAAGCTAATATGGACATGGATGGCACATGAATTTCTGTCTTTACACAAGCGAATCAAGCCAGAATAATATCAAATCAGATTGCTTCAATTTTAAACTTCGTCAATGAGTCATGTGCAAATTAAAAACCCTTTCAACAACCATAAGAAGTAAACAGAAAAAAAGTTTTGCCTCGTCAATGCATTTATTAACATTCATGTTGCATGGTAGCAGACTGAATTATAACAACGTGCAACTGTTGCTATGACACATACTTGTGCTATTCAAATTCTGTATTTCCATATTCTCGGAAAATGGGACATGTTATCAGAGATCAAGATTTGACATTAATAAGAAAAAAAGTAACCTTATTATCTATAATAGGATTGAATTGCTTTAAAAAGAAATACAGTTTCGCAGAGTAAAATGTTCATCGTGCGAAAAAAGGGAATAAATTGTGCGAAAATTGAGCTTGACTTTTTCATTGGCTAAAGATAACATGTCTACAGAATTATTGGTTTGTCAATTTACTGACCGCTGTCTATATTTCCGTGGATGTTATATATAAAGAACGTATTCTTTCAACCCTGTTTGACCTAAACACATCCCTTTTTCTTTAATTTTTTTTTTTTTGTAAATACAATTAAAATGGATGTCCAATCTAAAGAAAAAGAATTTCGAGATGAAAAAATTGAATACGACATACACTCAGTTGATGAACAGGTTATAGTAGACCAAGATCCAACGACAAGACATCTACACCCAGAAGAGCATCAATTCACATTTCGTGCTGCTATCATCGGCTCTCTTTTTGGTTGCTTAGTTTGTAAGATATACTCGACTCTCTATTTATCAATTAATTAACACATCTCAATAGCTGCCTCAAATACTTACCTTGGTTTAAAGATCGGTTGGTCATTTGGCGCTTCACTTTTTGGTGCCATCTTTTCATTTGCTGTTCTCAAGCCAATGTCCCGTATACTGCCACCTAAATGGGGCGGCGGTTATTTCGGTCCCAAAGAAAACTGTACGGCACAATCCGCTGCTACTACCGCTGGTGGTCTATCTGCTGGTTTTGTGTCTGGTATCCCTGCTATGTACAAATTAGGCTTATTGACAAATCCACGTGACGATGCAGCTGCTCTCTTCCTTTTTGCTATCTCCGCAGCCTTCTATGGTCTCTTCTTTGCCGTCCCTCTTCGTAGCCACTTTGTTGTCAAGCAGGACTTGACTTTCCCTACTCCTCGTGCCGCTGCCACTACCATCATTTCTCTCCACAGTACTATTGAAGGTGAAAAGGAAGCCATGAAGAAAGCCATGTGGATGGCTCTCTGGTTTGGTGTTTCTTTCCTTTGGAATCTCATCGCTTACTGGGTTCCCTTCTTTGACACCATTCACATTCTCTACTGGATCGGCTATGGTGCCCATCAATATGTACCTTTAATCAGCGCAGATATGGATTGGGGATGGGTCTTCAAGTGGGATTTCCCTTTCTTTGGTGCTGGTTTGATGACACCCGGTTCTACCGTTCACACCTTCTTTTTATCCTCTCTCTTGATCTACGGCATTATTGGTCCCGTATGCGTTACTAATGGCACTTTTGTCAAACCATTTGGCTTTACCGCAGCTGGTACTACCACTCAATCTTTTTTCTTGTGGCCTGGTATTGCTCTTATGGTCCTTACATCATTTGCTGAACTGGCTGTCCGTTATGATACTCTCTGGCGTGGTATTAAGGGTGGTGTTCTCGGTATCTACAATGGCCTCTTCTTCGTCTCTGCTTTCATTAAACAAAAGGTGTTCCGCAAAGAGTTGAGTGAAAAAGAAAGACACATGGTTAGTGCTGAACGTGACCCTGATGAGATCTTCGAAGACAGTGAACTTGTTCCTGCTTGGTGGTGGATCACTGGTACCTTTATCTCAATCATCTTTACTTGTGTTATCATGGGTGAATTTTTTGGTATGCCTGTCTATCAAACTATTGTTGCCGTTATCCTTGGTTTCATCTTCTCCTTTGTTGGTGTCCAAGCTGCTGGTGAAACAGATATTAACCCCACAGGTTCTATTGGTAAAATGTCCCAATTGGTTTTTGCCAAGATGCCTGCTAGCTCCATCGATCAAGTTCGCAAAAATAACTTGATGGCCGGTAACATCTCCGCCTCTGCTGCTGCTCAGGCTGTTGACATGGTTGGTGATCTCAAGACCGGTCAGCTTGTCGGCGCTTCCCCTCGTTCCCAGTTCTGGGCTCAGTTTGTTGCCTCTTTCTTTGCCATTGCCATTGGTGCTGGTCTCTTCATCCTCTTTGCTGATGCTTATCCCTGTATCATCAGTGTTGGCCCCGTTGATACCAAAAAGTGTGAGTTCGGCCTTGTTGCTGTCAACGCTTGGTATAATGTCACCTTACTCTTGACTGGTGGTGGTGAACCCTTGAGCAAGGGCTCCATTATCCTTACTATCATCTGTGCCATTGTTGGTATCGCTGCTCCCTTCATTCGTGAATTTGTGATTCCCAAGAAATACCATCGCTATGTACCCTCCGTCTCTGCTATTGGTATTGCTATGATTAACAGTCAACCTGAAGTCCCCTTGTCCATGTTCATCGGTTGGTGTGGTGGTAAGATCTGGAAGCTCGTTGATCCTCTTGCTTGGGATAACTATATGTACAGTGTTGCGGGTGGTATGATTGCTGGTCAAGGTATCTCCGCTATTATTCAAGCTGCACTCAAGTTGGGTAATGTTGCTCCCTACGCCTTTACTGGCTCATGTCCTGAAGGTCTTCTCGAAAATTGCCCTTAATCCTTTTATACATATATGTATCTACATTACTACTACTCTTAATACCGTATTCTTTTTATAATTGACCTAATAAATAAATACCTTTTTGAACAATACATCTAAAAGCATACTAGTATGTAGAATGTGCAAAGTGCCACAAAGAGAGGGTTAATGCGACATTGACATCATAATCACATGAGCTGAACTTGATAAATGTAAGCAAGATCCTGACTTGTCAAAGGGTTTAAGGATATCTGGCTACAGTTTTTCCCAGGATGGACACTCTGTCCTTACATGAGGAATATCTTGTCCTACGGTAACAGAATGGCAAGCTTCTATTGTCTTCATTGTGCCTTGTTTTATTGTTGCACGTTACCACCAATCTGGTACTACCTTCAGCTAGAAATGCTTTGTAGGAACTCACATGCTCTCTTTGGTGTTTGCTTCTCGCATCAGTATTTTTTTATTTGAGTGATGTGTTGATGAGCTTGATGCGCTTTTACTGGGAAAGAAAATAATCATGAAGTAAAAATAGATGCAGGTATATTGAAGATAAAGGAATACTGACGCAGCACACAAGCTACCCGTGAATGCTTGTAGTTTGTGCATAACAATAGAAAGTGCTAAAAGTCAACTCCAAAGCCTACTTTTATCAAAGTTAAATATCTCTACCCTAAACCTTTGTAATATGGGCGCATTACATTACTTCTTTTAGTATTGTAACTAATTTGATCTGTATATATCTGAACAATTTTGCTCCTTCCTGGGATGCTCCAAATATGTCAGTAAACGGGTCGCACCAGGAAGATCATAGAGATGAGCATGGCTTTGTAAAGATGATTATTCATTCTAATATTAAACGCGTATTAAAGCAACCTTGTAAAAACGGTTACTCACTGACTGAGAATGTATGATAAAGCAGCGTCCTTATCAACATCTAAAACGCGCAAATGCAAAATGATAAAAATATTTGTGTTAGTGATAAGGCTGCGTATTTAGATATTAAAGATGATCTTTGTTTAAATTGTACCTATATGCTTCCTTAAGTTAATTTTTTTTTCCAGTGATAAACAGGCAAACGTATTACCCATTCTAGTATCTTTGAAATCAAGTTTCTCGTAAGATGGCTTGTGTATGCCTAAGAAAAAAAAAGAATATTTAACCCAGTCCTTAGGTTAGTAAGTGTTTCCGATGTACGCCACTTGAATGAATATCGTTCATCTTTTTTTTCCTCTTCACCCTTTACCCTTCACATTTTTCATTCGATCTTTTATAGAATCATATTATTTTTTTGGAGAGGAATGAAGCTACAAGAAAATAATTATTTTTAACTGATTTCCACAAAAATGAAATACTTACAGGCGAGTCAAAATACGCTAAATATAAACAAACCATGTGTCACAGCTGATTTAAGGAAAGGAATAAATTTTTATCATTTTCAAAACGTGAATCATAAGATAACTACATTTATTACAGAATGGAGCTAATTGAGTGCTTATATCAGGATTTACGTAGCAAATGATTGATATTTGATTAGAAGTGAAGGGAGCTAAAAATTATATCTATGCTCCCCTTTATAATTTTGCTGTATTCATTAAAAATTGATCATCCCAAACAAACGCCTACATTCTTGATTTGCATTGAATTTTCTCGTATCTCTTAGAATAACACGAATGATTTTCCCATGAATATCTGATGTGTGTGCTATCGCCGTGGATGGTTATCAAGGGCTAAAAGGTAAAGATAACAACATCTGATCTAAATAAAAAAAAAATTTAAAGTTTGGTGTAAGGTCCGTAGTCTTTAAATCTAAGCTCAATCTATATCTTTTTCAACATGTTTGAATAGCTGCCATCAAAAATAGTGGAACGTGCTGCATAATAATATTGCTTGTTGATATAACTCAGCATGTAGACAGAAACGAAATTCAATGAAAAGAAACACGCTTAGATGCCTTGAATAACTTTAAGGAAGTACAAAATGACAACACTATGCTGCGTT